AGTCTCACGTAATATAATAAATAGTGTAAAAATCGTTGAACATCGCAAATAGGGTATCGACGACACACACGGGCCGTAGTCTTAATAAGAAAGTCTCGCAAAGGGATTAAAAAATACAAGGAATCAACTATTTGTTTGTAAATGCAATATCGATTGACTATCTTGTTGCCTTGTACTATGGTACTCTAAATGACATTAAAATACCTCAATCGGAATAACATGTGTCGAACGTGTCTGAATAAGTAAACTTTCATTCGATTCTTATTGACTGGTCGAGGCTTACTTCTTTCCATTCTTCCTCCTCCTTGCCATTTCTCATTCGTGATTCTTACAGTGAGGGAGAAGATTCGTGCAGCAGCACACGACAGTGCAGTATCATCGTCATCGTCATCACACTTACTTCGTATAAACTTGCACACAGAACCGGAGGGGGAGAAAATGTTCCATCAATTATACAATCCTATCTTTACAATTTATTTACGTATTGCCTTGCCTTAACGAGTAATCGGTCGACGTGGCATGGAAAAATAAAATTGTACATACATCGAGTCGTCAATTATTTAGTATAAAGCAAATTCAACAAAGTATGAAAACGGTACGTTCGTTCGAATTCGAAGAATAATCCTGAAATCACGGTCACCTGTTGCCTTTAAATGTCTTCTTGCTCGTCGATCGAGCTTCGATTCGATCAACACGAAAAACTGGAATGGAATATCTTTCGTAACGAAGGGCCATTCACTCAGTTCGAAAGTTACAATTTCCCTTTTCCCTTCTTCGTCGTAAGCGTAAAAATTCAAGAGTGAAACGATCATACAATTACAACAACTGTATAACACATATGCTTCATACTAATTAATTTTTTTCATAGCATGAATTAACACTTGATTACAGACGTATTCGCAGTCGTAAGTTGTACTAATAAATCAGGAAATTTTCGCGAACATCATCATCTCGTATTAATGACACATTTTGCTCCTTTACTCCCCTCTTCATTTTCTTAAATCGATGCGCGCAACATCCCGCATTTCGTAAAATTTGATGCTCATATACCCGTATAATTAAAAATACAGCCATATCATAACATTACAATCATTGATCCGGCGAAAGAAAGCGAAAAAAAAAAAAGCAGAAGATCCGCTTCAAACCAAGTATAAAAAACTTTTGCTCCTTAACTTTCCCAGACTATAAATCAAATCCGATCTAGGAAATCTTTTTCAAACCGACAATCGAGATGAAAAGACATACACTGAAAATATATAATGAGGGGACAAGGGGATCGTCACGACGTGTTTCAACGTAAAAGGAGAACGATAATAATAATAAAAACGAAACGTTAGAAATATTATCGATAAAACATATATATATACATATACATAGATTTAACGAGGATTATTATTATTTTTTTTTTCTTTTTCAATCTACATGCACCCTGCGTTAAAAAAAGCACGCTTTTCCGCCATCGTTTCTTTCTCTTCTCTCGAAAATTTATATATATATATATTATATATATTATATATATATTATATATTATATATATATATTATATATATTATATATATTATAT